AGCTTCTGTCACTAAAACAAATTCCTCGTATGTGTAAACATACCTGGCAATAAAGCTCATTCTGATTCTGATTAATATTTTTTAGATATTTTAAGTGTTTTTATTAGCACATTCTTATTCAGTTGCTAGGGTGTTCTGGGCAGTTTTTAGGTAGTTGCTTATTGTACCAATAAGTCACAAGAGACCACCCCCAATTTTCTATAATAATCGAGTCAGACATGGCTTGGGTTAATGTATTTTTTCACCTGTTTTATCACTCGCCAGCCAAAAATCCCAAGTTTATATATTGATATTTTGATCTTTGATATTGTAGGTTTGGTTGATTTGGTCTGTTGAAAGTTTCCAGATGGGCCTGAAGTTTTAGGTGTGCTTACAGGGTAATTTGCAAGCTACAGGCTGATTAAAGAGCTGCGTCTGTAACTCATGTTCAGCGCTGGAAAACGCCATCCTTGCTGATGGCTTATTGATGAGGTAAGGCTCAAGTTACTTAAAGGTGAAGTTTTGAATTTCTGTGCCTCTAGCACCAGCAATTTTTTTTTAATTATTTTATTTTATTTTATTTATTAAGGACCAAAGAGAATAGACTGAATAGAACATTTAAGGATTAATAATATACAACCCCAATTCCAGAGAAGTTGGGACATTTTGTCAAATGCAATAAAATCAAGAATCTGTGATTTGTTAATTCTCTTTAACTTTTATTTAATTGACAAAAAGTACAAAGAAAAGATTTCCAAAGTTTTCACTGACCAACGTAAATGTATTTTGTAAATGTGAACACATTTTGTTTTTGGCGGCTGCAACACACTCCAAAAACGTTGGGACAGAGGCAAAATAAAAGTGAAAAGGTTATAGAATATCCACATTAAACTGTGTTGAAACAGTTCACAGTAAGCAGGTGAATTGGTAATAGGTCAAGGTATCATGTTTGGGTGTAAAAGGAGCATCTTAGTCTTTGCAAGCAAAGCTGGATCATGGCTCATCACTTTATGCCAAATTTCATGAAAGAAGTGTCAAACAAATCAAAAATCACAGTATAAATAGGGCAAGGCAGGAAACCTCAGGCGAATGCGTGTGACCTTTGAGCCCTCAGATGGCATTGCATAAGAAACCATCATGCTGCGGTGTTTAATATAGCCACATGGGCTCAGGAGTACTTCAGAAAACCACTGTCATTTACCACAGTCTGCTGCTGCATCAAGAAATGCAACTTGAATCTGTTACTCTAGGAGAAAGCTACACATCAATTCTATGCAGCAATGCTGTCGGGTTCTCTGGGCCAGAGCTCATCTCAGATAGTCAAAAAGACAGTGAAAGTGTTTGTTGTGCTCAGATGAGTCCACATTTCAACTTGTTTCCGTGAAAAATGGATTTCGAGTTCTCAGTCCCAAAGACCAAAGGGACCATCCAGACTTTCATTAGCGACAGAAGCAAATGTGAACGTCTGTCATGGTATGGGGTTGCATTGGTGCAAACATCATGGGTGACTGGCATATGTGCGAAGGTATTATTGACATGGAAGCATATATTGGGATTGTACAGAGATATATACTGCCATCAAGATGGTGTCTTTCATGGGAAGTCCATGGTTATTAGATCAAGGCAATGCCAGCTCTCATTCTGCATGTGCTACAACAGCGTGGTTTCGTAGAGACAGAGTGAATGTGACAGACTGGCCAGCAGATCTGTCTCCTTTTGAAAATGTATGGCTTATCATGAAAAGGAGAATCAGACAACGACGATCACAGACTGCTGAGCATCTGACGTCTTGTATCAAGCAAGATTGGACAAAA